TGGAGTCCCAACAGCAGGTTTCACCCCTTTCCTCTAGGAACTGAGACACAGCAGTGGATTATCACAGCACACACGTGTTTTCTTCTAAAGAGAAAGTATTTACAATCAACACAAACAACCCATTTCTCCTCTGCCAGCAGCAAACACCTGAGGGCCCCACAGTTTCACACACCAGAGCAGGAAGGGACTGAAGTTCTTCAAAAAAATTTAAGAAAATAATTTGAAACTCAGATAGTTTCTGCAGGGTCACAGATTGGGACTGCACCCCGAGGCTCCAGGGACAGCAGCAAGGGGGAAGGTGACCGGGGTGGTACACCTCAGGGAGGTTCTGCCAGGGGAGGATGGAAACCTCCTGCGGAGGAGAAGGGCAAAAACTCACTTCACCTTGATTTTCAGTATGAATACAGACCGGGAAAGCAGGGCCTGACGATCCTTCCGGCTTTTTGGGTTTTAGGCAGGAGGTGTCAGAAAAGTTACCACTGGCCAAGCGTTCATAGCGACGCTGCTTGTCGGTCCTTTGATGTCGGCTCTTCCTGTCATTGTGAAGTGGAATTCACCAAGCGTTGGATTGTTCACCCCCTAACAGGGAACATGAGCTGGGATGAGACAGGTTAGTTTCACCCTACTGATGGTGTGTTGGTGCAATAGGAAGTTGCAGACCAGTAACTTCCAGTCCTGCCTCCAGCACGGACTTCTACACAGAGCTCAAGCCTCACTGGGGGGGCAGGGGCCCAGGGGAGAGCAAACGGAGGATGTGGTCCCCAGGGCATGCCCAAAAAGGAGAGCACGGCTGGTCCTGCTGCAGGACCAGGTTCCAAGATCGTTGGCCTGGGCACAGGGTGCTATGGGAGGTCAGACAAAGCCAACAGGGTCTGAACACGAGTCCCAGCAGCTGCTGCTTCCCAGAAGATGAGCCAGCAGCTCAGGGGAGCGACTCTTGGAACCCAGAGGCACTTAAACCAATTCTTAGTTTGCCAATTTACTGCAGACTACAAGAGGAATCCTGACTACCCACCCCAGAGTCCTGTTCACATCAGCAAACAGCACCCAATGCCCCCAGGCTTTGGTACAGTACAACAAAAAGGGAGGGGGGTACTCCAGCTGTACTGTAGAGCTGCTGCTTTTCACGCTGATAGTGTATCTTCCCTGAAAATTCAAAGTAAGGCTGGATGGACTGACCCCCACCACCACCCCCCTGGCAGCACATTTGGTCCAAAATACTAGAGTAATTATTCTGCTGCTTCCCACCCCAACATTTTAATTAAGTTATACTAAAAGATTAAAGTCAAAATGATAGCATACATAAATAAAACTCAAGAGTTGACATAGTAACTCCAGGCTTTAGATATCAACTGTCCAAGAAATCAGAATACCAAAGCTTTGAAATGTGCTGAACATTGAGTTTTGCCAAGGGGGAAAGAACGAAGAAGCTTTAAGTTTAAGCCTTCAGAACGTCACTGCATCGGTAGATCAGTTCACAACCACCACAGTTTGTAGACGAGCCTCTCTCTCTGTCCCAAAATAAACAAGTGCTTTGTCCTCTTGATGTCGACGGGAAGCCACGGATAGTCACAGAATGGATGCACAGGACCTTGACTCTGACCAGCAGCGAAATTTTGGACAACTGAGTGCAGATACTGCCCATTTCTACCAGTTCAACTGTGCTTTAAGACTCATTGTAAAGCCTCAGTTAGAAAAAGGATCACCTCCAGGTATCCAACAAAATAAACAGTTTTAATTTTTTTTTTTTTTTAAACCTTAAGACTAAGCAGTTCAGCTGTCAATCATTTCAGAAAGTTCCAGAAGGAGATCATCCTCATCCTTCCCTGGGTCCAGGTCAATTTCTGCTTCCAGTTTGCCTCCTGAGATTTCCCAAATAAGCTTCTCAAAGTCATCTTCCACAGATAAGGGTGCTTTCCCAGCCCCCGTGGAGCTCAACCGGCGTGTCTTTACTGCTGCTTGTGAAGAAGCTGAAGTCGAGCTTGAGACTTCTGACTGTGCCACAGAGTCTGCCTGGCTTCCAATACTCAGGTCAGGACTTGGAAGAACAAGAAAGAGCAAATCAGTGTACGACATTCCTTAACCAGAGAGATATTTTCTGTAAACCAGCCCTTGAAACTGCAGTTAATCTCTCCTACGCATCACCCTTGCATGGGGATTGTTATGTGAGTAACCTGGCACTACTTTTAGTGTCCGATGTATTAGCAGGTACGTTTTTCAGTTTGGGGATTTATCCATGAAGACAGAGCATCTTGGGTCTGGCCAAGAAGGTTCAATTTTTTGTAGCCAGAGACACTTTGCCACCTTTACTAATTTGACTGTAAAATGGTTAAGAAGTCAACCTCTGCAAACACCTGTTTACTCATTTGTTCCTTTGGTGGATTTTGGCATTATCTCAAAACTACGATTTTTCCACCTGTGAAAACATTTGTGTTTCATGTGAAAGACACATTGATCAAGAAAAAGAACAAGTTGTGGCTGTTACCTGGTTTGGGGTTTTTCTCTCCCAGGTATGGAGACCAGGCTCTCCTCTGGCAAAGCAGGAACAACGGCCTAGGAAGAAGCAAGACAGTTTAAGATACACAGTTAAAACGCTTCTTAGTAGATTCTTCCTCCACTGTTTTTCCTCTGGCATTGCTGAGCCTTAACCAAAATACAGAACCAAGGTGCTCCTGAATAAAAGTTAGTATTCAATTGAAGTTTACTAATGACCTTGTGTCTTATTAGGACACAGCATTAATGGACAAAATCCTTCATGCCACAAAGTGACCACAGCAGGTTATTATGTAAATGCTGCCATTCCTCTAATAAAAAGCAGAAAGTTAATACAGCCATCCTCTTATGGATTGAAAAGGGAATGGAGACCTGCAGAACATTTCAGTTTTCCATCTTTTCTCCAAGAGGAGGGTAAAACTTGGGCATAAATTTTACTAGGGACCCACCACTGCCTCAGCCATTGTCCTTACCACAGCTGCTTTTTTAGCTGAAGGCTCCTTCATGTCACCACCAGTGGCACTCAATGGCTTCACAGCTGCCACGGCAGAGGGATGGCTCTCAGCTGCCTTGCATTTCAGCGTCTGCTTTGTGGGGGAAGTGGCTTTCCCATCTGAAGGCTTTAGGCACACCTTAGATTTGGCTGGAATAAAAAGAAGAGAGAACTGACACAGTCTTGCTCTGCCTCAGATGGAGAAAAAAAAAAAGAGAACCTGGGTTTTTTAACAGTCACATAATCCTTCCAGTTTTTTGGCCAGCACAATTACACTGCCATTTCCCAGATTCTCAGCAGTATTTTCCACATAGTAAACTGTTTATCAACAAGCCATAAAAAGGATCAAAGAAGTTATAAAAAGGAGCCAGAGTTACTGCATGAAAATTGTAATCTTCTGCCTTTCTTTCAAAACATGACCTAAAGTAACTCTTTAACATATAGCCAACACTTACTTTTAGCTTTCTGTTCCAGAAGCTGAGCTGCCTGTTTCCCTGGTGACACAGCAGCATCCTTTCCTGGGCTTTCGACCCCATCTTCTGGAGATTTCACCAATATCTTCTTTGCGGGTTGATAAGCTGGCCCTGAAACCAGGGCAGGTTCAGGACTCCCCGATGCTGGAGTTTTATCCTTGATTGGTTTTTCAACAGGAGATGGCACAACAGCCACTTCCTTCTGAAGCTTCTCTTCTTGGCGGCGTTTCAGTTGCCGCTTCTCCCTCATTATCTCTTCAAGGCTCTTCACTTGAACTTTAGAATTAGCTGCGCTCTGATCAGAGGGCTAGAAAGAAACAAAAGAGGACTAATAGGACAAAAATCTACAGAGATTTCATTAAAAATAGCTGAGCAGCAATCCCTCTGACATGGTTCCACCTGACATATTTTCCATAAAATATTGCCTGTAACAAGATCCATGCTTTGCTATGGAAATACTGTTTCAAAAGCCTGCAACTCCCAACACAGCAAGGTTATTTAATGAAGCAGAAGACTCTAGCTGTATTCTATTACATTCTTTTCAAGCTACAGAAAGTCATACAAGCTCCCCGACACAACATTCACTGACAGACTGACTTCCCCTAATACAAAGCTCTGTCCTTTTCTATTAAAATACTCACTTCAGGATTTTAAGATACCCTTCAAGCCTGACAGATAGTCACTGAGAACAAAACCATTCCCTCCACACTAACCTCACAGATTTTACGTGGTGCTAATAGGGTTTCTCATTCATTGTCAGGTATAATCAGATTAATTCAAAGCCTGAGGATTACAGTGTTGTCTGGAAATGCTACTGAAAGTGACAGGACTTAGACCTCACTGAAGCACTTACCAAATGCAGAAAGGTAGGAACACACTCAAACTGGGAGCACACAGGGAGTTACAAACAAAACATGACAAAGTATCGTAAATGGTATGAACACAGAATTTGCATATGTCTTCACAAAACACTCACCTCTGCAGGAGCAGAGACAGCTTTGGGAGAAGGCTTGCTCAATTCCACTACCTTCTTTTCTTCTCTTCCAGGTGCTTTCAAACAAACAAACAAAAAAAATCACTTTGTCAACAGAAGTAAAGAAACCTGGTTATCTCTGTTTCCTTGGTGTGTTTATTTCCTCACATCTAATAATGGGACAGAGGGAAAGGCTATGGTAAGCAATCTGTGCAGCATTGGAGCTCTCTCTCCCTCAATCACACTATTTTTACATTTACATGGCTTATCATATCTTAACAATGAGATGTTTAATGCTTATCGTTTTCAACAACTGGCCCAAGAAGTTGACACGTTTCACAAACATATAGAAGTCAATAACTAAGTTAAATAACACACATGCCAAAGAGGAAGGTAAACTTGGATTCAGCAGAGGGAAGATCCCATACCACAAACAGATGGCAGAAAAAAACAGAAGAGACAAATCAAACTCTTAAGCTTCTCAATGAATCAATTTTCCAGTGGGAAATTCAGAAAACTATCACAGGAAAATAATATGGTTGCATATTCTGGCACTTTCTTGCCTTTTGTCTTTGTAGCCTCAAACTTTTATACACTAGTACACATAGAAGGAAAAAAGCAAAGCGAATCCTGAGTAAACTGAATTTGCTCAATAGGGGAAGCACTTCACCAGGGCAGACATCAAATCATCTTATTACCTGTTAGCTTTGTGATCCGTAACAATCTTCTCACTGTTGGGGCAGGTTCAGGTTGTGCTGGGGGAGCTGGCACATCTTCTCCGCTTTGCTGCATCCGCAGAGCTTTCTCCTGCTTGATTTCTTCCAAGGTTTTAATACGCACCTCTCCTGCTGGCTTGGCTTTACCGGCTGGCTCTGCCAGCTGCACTTTGCTGGGCACAGATGGAGCAAGTACGCTCTGCTTCTTGGGCTCACTCTCAACTTTTGTCTTGGTCAGCAACTCTTCTGTTTTCTGCTTCTCTTCTTCCAATCGCTTCTGTTTCTTTTCAGGTGGGGCTCCTGAGAAAGTTTTGATGCGAACTGCAGGGGCAGGTCGTGCCCCTGAGCTGGGATCTTCTGGTTTAACACGTCCTTCAGTCTGGGGTTTTGCTTGAGGTTCTCCTCGTCTCTGATTAGCTCTCTCAAGACGAATTTCCTCCAGTGTTTTCACATGGATCTCTCCTGCTGGCTTAGCAGCCTTCTCTATCATCACCAAAAAAACAGAAGCACCAACATTTAAAGAGAGTCCAACAATATTTAAAGTCTCCAAAATTTGTTACAGTACCATGAAAAACTAGGTTTGGGTGTTCCCAAGAATGCATCTTGGGACAGTTATAATTCTACTTAATATTCTCCTTCTCCCTTAAGCCACTTGTCTTTTGAAAACCAGTGCCATCCAGAGAGAGCTGCGACACACAAACATTAGTCTGTGCTATTTTGTTTACTTTCTCAGACTGCATCTCTCCCTTAGCATCTCAAACTCCTGCTCCTGGCAGTGGCTCCATTCTACTTGTGCGTAAGCAAACTGCAGTTTCTGACAGTTTACAGCAGGAGTGTGAACCCTTGATGAGGCACAAATGGAAAACACACCTCGAGCCAGATCTCTGACAGTAGCCATCAGGACAGCTTCAGCACTGAGGCAAACGGAATCAAGCAGGTTTTTTAAATTAACTTTTAGGGCTGTATGGAAGAAGTTCATGGAAGTAAAAAAGGGGATGGCACATTTAATATCCAGTTATTACCTGTCTCTGTACTGGTCTGTTCAGAGGGCAATCCTAGCCTCTCCTTCAGAGTCTTGGGTACTTGAACTACAACACAGAAGAGAAAAAGTTAGGGAGACTGCATAAATCTCAATTTTGTGTTCACATTTCAAAATGAAACAGGAGATCACTTCACTGGGATTCAAAGTGACCTTGAGCCCTCAACTAACATGCAAAAAGAACCATTAGAACAAAGGACAAACAGAAAACCTAAATAAAAAATATGTGCATCAAATCCAGATGTCTGTTCAGTAGCTGTACCTCTCTTTGGTGCCTTGTCAGCATTCTCCAGAATCTCCATCTTCTTCCCCAGCCTTTCAGCAAGGTTGCGCTTTAGTGGAAGGACACTTTTACCAGCTTCAGAAAAAGAGAAAACAAGAAATGCTTTAAGAACATCTCTCTGGAGGAGGATTTTAGAACAGTCAGCCACAAACTTCAATTCTGCAGCTGTATTTTCTTATCTTTGCCTTTCAGTTGCTAGCAAAATTTGCCATTTGTGCAGCCAACACAGATCTCCGCAAAATGTATTTTCCTCCCTCATACAGCAAAAATGCCCTTAAATATAGTCACGTTTAGATGAGGGCACCCATGCAACAGCTCACAAAAAGCTCTTACCTATGGAGGTTTTCCGTCTCCCCAGTCTCTCAGCAAGATTCACCCGAATCTTGGCTGAATCTTTAGGCTCCTCCCCTAAAATAAAGAATAATCTCTTTAGGGCACAGAAACCAGTAGCCAGTAAAAGCATTGTCCTTCTAGCCCCGGTCCCAAAAAAAGACACTCTTCTGCTAGCCAAACCACATAAAAGAACAACTACAAGTAGAAGCAGTTCTACAAGTTCTTTTGCCTTTAAAAGGAATTTGTGCAGATCTAAACACCACCATTTATACACAGACCCACAGCACACTACTGTCTGCAACTGCCACTGGCAGCCGCTTCAATGCTTCGCAAACTGGCTACTTGTACAATACCATCTTCTGTAGGTCTTCCCCTTCATGACTCCCTTGTTTTTCAGGTATCCCCTTATCTGCATTCTGACACTTGTTTTGACATTAGCCTCTGTCTCTGCTGCTCCTGCACTTAACCCAACCACTAATTCCATCACGCTGTCAACACATGAGCTCATTCACAAATCTCACTCAGCTGCAGGAACACAAAAAGTCAAATTAAGCACATTTGAGTCTGTAGGATGGTGATAATACATTATTAGCTACAGCTTAATGTCAGGCTGATAAGAAACACTTCTTGATCTTTTATTGCAATACAACAGAGCACCTACAAATGCCAAATCTTTCCAATACAACCAGGGACTTTCAGCATAAGAGTGGTTTTAATTAGAAAAGGCAGCAGCAGCAGACTAGGACGTGTGAATTACCTTAACTATGACTTAACCTTTCAGTTTAGGAGCTGTGAAATGGGAACAATAGCATTCACTATTACCTGGCTTTGTAGACAGGGTCACAGTTCTCACTACTGTCCGTACGTTTTCCTTTTCTGGCACAGGAATAGTCCGAGACTGGAGTGGATGTACAGAAACTCCTGAAGGACCTTCTGATCAGAGCAAGCAAGACATCAGGACGTTTAGGAAAAAAAACTCAACCAAGCAAAACAGAAGAGCTATCATGAACACCAACACATTATTTATTACTGTCAAACATACAGTGACCAGTGCCTGTAAATAAGAGATAAGCAGCTTCCCTCTGATCTGCCCTTGGAATTCCAACCTCAAATACCAACTGTTTCAGTTTAAGAAAACAGGCTGCATGCCAAAGTAGCTCAAGGTCCCCAGCTAAGCATGGAAGTGTGTCCCTCAAGCAGCTCCCAGTCACAATCATCTCCCAGTCTGAACCCAATAGTGCAAAAAAATTTCCTTTCTTTTGCAAATAACCATATTCAGCAATGTGAAGGATTAAAAAAAATAATAATAATGAAGGTGAACATAAGGCAGAAGGATAAAAAAGTACAGGACATTAACTCACCACCTTGTTTTTTCGTTTTTTCCTTTAGTTTCTTCAATTTGATTTCTTCAAGTGTTTTTATTCCGAAATTTAAACTCTCATCTGAAAACGCAAAACAGTTAATGAAACTAAGGCTTAAAGGCACATGCTGAAGGGCACATATCCTCAGGCTTCTCAGAGATCAGATCCTTCCCAAAGTATTTTGAATCAACCCTGTCAACACTCCCCACAAGTTAAAAACCCCCATACAACAGATGGTATTTCAGTAAGCAATTGGTACCTTTCTTCATCCCCCTTCCCACCCTTCAGGGTAAAACCTATAGTCTTAAACATTTTAATCCATCTACATGATATTAGATTCCCCTGTTTTCGGACATGTCTTTCCACAACAACATTTGCAGGCATTTAAACTCCACTCTGTAGCTCTATTTTGTTACATAAAGGTAAACAAGAAGGAGTTTACCTGCCTGACCCAAGGGACATATGACATTAGATAGGAATGAGCTCATGGAAATAACTAACTCCATCTAGCCACCCCATATTCTATCATATTTTTAGAACATATTGCTTTTGAGTTAATTGTCAAATCTCCTTCCCATCCATCCTACCTTGCTTTGTATTAGTATTGGATTTCCTAGTGGAAATAATCCGCAATCCATTATGGGCTTCTGGAGCTGGTTGCTGGACAGGTGTTTTAGTTTCATCTCCTTCTTCAGAAAGCTGGTCTAAAACGCAAAAATAAACCTATTCAGCAGCAGGGATTAGACAAGATTTTTTCATTTTTATGTAGCTCATGCAATGACATTTCAGTCCACAGTTCATATTGTGTTTGTATCCTTAATTACAAACACCAGATTTTTTTAAGCAGCTATACTGACTTGACAAACTCACATAAGAGCTATAACGGGAAAAAAAAAAACATTTAGGACTCCAGACTTTTGTCTGTAACTTTAACCACTACACAATTCAGGTATTCTGTGATTCATACGGTCACTTACAGTAGAAATGCCTTCAATAAGTAAAAAATGCTCACCATCATCATCTTCATCATCATCTGCAGCATTGATTACAACTGGAGGATGTGTAGGACTTGGGACATTTTCAGAGTTTTCTACTTTCATCACCCCTCTCAGCTGTGGAGAGGGATTTGACTGGACAGAAAGTTTGTTTTGCTGCAGTGCCATCTGAGCCATCTTCACTTCGTCTTCTGCAGACTCAGGCGGACTTGGAAGCGCAGCTAGAGGAAGAGGAGGACCACTTGTAAGCTGGCCATTTAAAACTTTGACCTCAGTGGTGCACTCATTGCTCAGATACGGTACATAACCTACCTGGTTACTGAATTTAGCCTCCTATTCCCCACCCCGGGTTACACTACGAACAAAGGCTTCCCTTCACACACAAATCTCACCACCCTACCACCCAGAAAGGATTAAATGAGGGGAAAGCAACCTGAAAGGCACAGAAAACAGAGCATGAAAGAAAAAATTAAATACCAAAATTACATTCTGTTTGTCTGAGAGCTTATGACTGCAGACATCTCCCTGTGCAGTATCTGCCTACAGTACTGCACCCACTCGTAAGTAATATTCACAATCAATTATTTAATATTTAAAGAAAAAGAACCTAAGAAACTCACTTTTGCTTGGCGGTAAGAAGAGTCCATCAACATAACGTCCTTTCGTGTGATGGAACGCACAGTTGGATTTTTGACAGCCTACAGGCTGATTCTCCCAGTAGCAAGGAATCTCACTGCGTTTTTTCTGAAGACAGAAATAAAATCTTGTGGTAACACTCGCCTTAGATTTATAAAGAGACATAGCTTCACATCATGCCAGAGACAGGACTATTGCAGTGCAGTGCTGAAACAGCATTCCAAAGGTCAGTTTAGAACTACAATAAAGTATTTCAGGGTATATACACAAAGTTTAACAACTACACATTATCCAGCTTTCTTATCATACAGTTGGAGATAACATGAACTCTCATCTGAAGAAATCCAGGACACAGGAGACCCGACAGGCCATTCTTAAGCCCAGCCCTCAGGAGACTAGTGCAGGCTGTTTACTACCACCCTGCTCCAGCACATGTAAGCAGCCTGATCAATAATGGTTGATCTTGCCTCTGTTAGGAAAATAAAGCCACTGCCTAACACAAACATTTCTTTCTGAGATATATCTAAGAAATTGATTGTTCTTCCCCCAACTTCCTCCTCGTCCCAGAAACCAGTATCATTGTAACGCAAGTACATCTATCATGTAAAAGCACACTCAGAACACCTACAGCAATGAAAAAAATGCTCTCAGTGATTTAGTGTGAGAACACATCTTTAGGCAAACACTCACATCGATTTCCATGTGTCTGAATCTGCAGATATTCCTGAAACAGCGACCCTCCTGCCACAGCGTGCAGACTGTTTCATTTCCCAGAGCAGCTTCACAGTGACGGAAGGCACAGCTGTCTCCCTGTAACCAAAAGGAAATCAACAAAAAGGAAAATAAAACAGTACAGCCTAAAAAATGCCCATGCTATTAGAACTGGAAGCATAACCTAACTGCTCATTAAGTTACAGAAATCTGTATGTCTCCTCCTACTCTTCCCCCACCTCTGTTAAAAACTAAAAAGACAAACCCCAAAGTAAAAAGAAACTCAAATATACCTTGTTACACGTGGAATAGAAATAGAAGTAGCAGTCATCTCCTTGGTTAGACATAATGGACAATTCTCAGAACAAGCTCAGGTTCTAAGGCTTCACTCAACACGGACTTCCTCCACTCTTGGCAAGAGCTGGCTTCACTCTTTCTTGGACTGAAAGTCTTCTACTGGCTTGATCAGTGAAATCTTCTTTTTAACAGTAACCCTAAAGAAAGGTATCAAAAAGTGAAAAGTAATTAAGTAATAAGCATTTTTACAGCTGCCTTTTGTTCATCAAATTAGTCTCTTGAGAGGGGCAATGCCTTGAAATCAGCTGCTCACAAAAACTATCCCAATACTAAGTCAAACGTCTGTAAAACTGCATGGGTTTTGCCAGCAAGCGTTCTCTTCTGCGTCCTTAGCAATGGTTATACCCCTTGGAGCACAGAAGAAGCTACTGCGTGTGGCTGTAAGCCCAACAAGAGAGATGCTTCTTAAAAAAATTGGTCATACATTTGAGTTATCCATCCATGATTAACTGTGGGTACTAATAATTTCTATAAAACAGAACTGACATAGTAAACATCATTTTCCAATCACTGTGGATCTTCAAGTTCACATACCTGGACAACTTCAGCAAAGGTATTGATCTTCAAAGACTTCCAGTTAACTTCTCCTGTAGGCCGAACCAACACTGAATCCGTGAATTAATAATAAAGGGGTAGGAAGAATTTTCCTCCTCACATTGCCAAGGGAACCTCTCATCCACAATTCAAACACAGGATGTGCTTTTAAACATCTTACAACTAACGGAGGAAGCAAGTCCATTTGAGTACTGTCAGACTGCAGACAGCCAGGGTTAGTTAGCTCTTCAAAAAAAAAAAAACCAAAAAAAACCAACAAAAGCCCCAGTGCACTTAAAGATGAACTTGGGATTCAAAGTGGCTGCAAAAATGAGGCTCCATCTTCCACAGCCGGGCAAATTTTTTTTTTTTTTTTTTAATTTAAAATTCAGTAAGTTGCAATTTCTGGTCTTCAAGATTTCTTCACCTATTAAGAAAACACAAAAACCTTCCCCCATCTTTATTACCTGCACAGTAAAAACACACTTGCGTGTATAAATACACAAATACGTACATACATATATGTGTTTATACACACACCAAGAGTGAGCGACAGTCAGGAAAAGTGACAGTAAAAAATAGAATTTTGGGCTATTTGCCACATAGGACTGCATAAAAAGTCTCTCATTTGGAGGGAACCGGCAAAAATGAAAGATCTACAGAACATTTTGATGAACATGCCTTCAAGGCTGATGCTTTACAACATGAGTGATTTTGGGGCCAGCACACAAACATGGATACGTATGGACATGCACACGGTACAAACATATCTGTACACACAGGCGTGCACAGGATATGTCGTACGATATCTGCACCGAGAAGAACTTTCAGCCCTGATCAGACAGGTGGAGTTGCAATCAATCCAGAGCAGGAAGACAGCAGGTCAAGGGTAGAGCAAGCTTTGAGGGGCAGGGAAATGCTCACTTTGCAAGTGGCATGGCTGCACGATACTAAGAATTTTGAATTACTTTGATTTTAGAAAATATTGTTTTTACATCAGAGCATATGCCATCACATGCTGTGCCCTAATCCACGTATCCATCATCATCCATTACTGCAAGATCACTGAAGGTTTGAAAAGGTGGCCTAAGTGCGATTTAACAACTGATGATTTTTTGGTGCCACCAGAGCTGAAACTGATTTGATTTAGCCACAAGCAATTTATTTTTTTTTTTAATGTGAAGTCAGATACTTTGATTCTTAATTTTTTAAAGACACTAAATGCCATAAAACCTGCAACCAGACCGGATAAAATTCAAATTAAAAGTGATTCTGACCCCTTTCATTAAAATGCTGCACATTGCTGTGCAAAGTATTTCTGACTCTTTTGGACAAAACTGCATGAAAGTGTTCTTACAAATTAATAACAAAGGGTTGGAACCTTTTACTCACACAAACACTAGTGAATTTTCCAGGATTTTTTTTTTTTTGGCAGGGAATTTTCCCAAATCTAAAATAAAGAGAGAAGTTGGGTTCTCACATTAGTTATTGTTTTTTTTGACTGCTTGACAAAGGGAATAAAAATGGCAGTTAAGTGCAAGGTTTTCTTCCCTTCTTCAGTATCGATGGGACTATTCACTTTTGACCTTTAGCGCTTTCAAAAACAGACTTCGTGTCATACAGATTCCTGTGCATCTACTTCTAAAAATTACTGATGCTCCTTCTTGTGGAATTTTGACAAAAAACATTTTTCCAGATGTGTTACCAATACCACTGATATTTAAATTAAATTTAATTTCAGGCATGAATTCTTCAGTTTGCACGATTAAGGACCCCTACTTTGCTGAGCAGAGGCAGTCCAACAAAAATCAGAAGGAACTGATGGTCCAGAAGAGGCATTGCTTTTCCCTAGGAAGTGAGAGACACCTGTATAATACAACATTGCTATATCCATCATCATGAGGGGAAAACATAAATCCCCATCAGATTTAGCTCTTTTGAATGCCCCAGCAGCTCAGCATTTTGCTTGTCGCTTTCCATGTTCCTGAGCAGATTTCAAGAGCTGTTCAGAATTCGAATGGATCTTGTTTAAGGAATGGGAAAAAAAGCAAAACTTTAAAACAAAACAAACAAAAAAACCCCCCGAAAAAACATCATAGTTCTAAACTCCATGAAAGTCTCCTCATTTCAAAAAAGGTTAACTCAGAAGCCTTTTTTTTTTTTTTAAACTGGTATCAGCTAACATGGCAATCTGAGTGCTAAACAGAAATCAATCGAACTAACCCTTGAAACCCTGAATAAAAATGAGTAACTCTGGTGCACTCAGAAGGTCTCGCTAACAGAATTTGATAAGAATTTTAAACACTTCTTTTTTTTCCTTCAGAACTCTAGTAATTTTTTTTTTTTTTCTTAAGAGATTCTGAATTCCTTTTGTAAAAAACAAAAATAATTACAGGGGCAGTAGATAGGGGTCAGGAGAAACATACCAACAAGTGTCATAAACTTTAGTTTTGCAAAGGGAAGATAAACAGTACAAGGAAATTCTGCCTAGTTTGTTTTACAAGCTTGTCTTTCCTGGTACTGAAGAAACACTTCTGTTCCCTGGTCTAACTTTCCAGCTTGCTGACCTGCCTTTGTCCTGTACCAAAACCAATTCTAGCTGTTACATTCTGTCTAACCCTGGACTGGGGACATTTTCCGAGCCTGGGGGTTACAGCACTCCAGACCCACTCAGAGCAAAGACTGCGAGGTTGGCAGCCAAGGCAGCAAAGGTTAAAGCAGATGATCGTCTTAGCTTCCTCCACCAGCAAGTCAGGGTCACCTTTCACGGAGATCTATGAGAGCCAGAGCCGTGAGTTACCCCAGCCGTGAGGCACAGCTGCCCCTTGCTGGCTAGAGCAACTTTATTTGAAGATGTGTCACTTCAGGGACCTGAAACAGGACATTCTTCCTTAAGATGAGAGGCAAATCCAGCCATTCCTGAAAGGGCTGATGGGCCTGGTGTTTCTGTAACTGGCAAAGAATAACCCTGTTTTGAAGCACTCATCAGATCAGACACCGCTTCAGTAAGATTTATCTTTAGCTTGACACATCAAGACGCAGAAGGAATTCTTCAAAGCAACCTTTAAAGCAGGGATCGAGTAAAGCGGCCAAGACAAAGCGTTCATATCTGAGCGCACCGCTCTGGAGAAAATCAGTTTCAAGCCTAAGATGTTTCACCCATCTCACAGTTCAAGAGCGACAGTGACACCTTTGATTTGAAAGTCTTTCCACACGCTCTGCAAAGCCAGAAGGACATGACCAATGGCAACACTTGACTAAGAACTGCAGTTCCCCCTGGCCTCCACCTGCAGGTCAAGAATCTTGCACCCATCAGACACTGGGACCACTGGAATGAGCTGAGAATAGCCCCATTCCCCCTCCCAGGAGGATGCTGCTCCACCTCCTGCTGTTTCAAAGTCACTTTAACATACAAAAGGCAGAGAGAGGTTCACTGAGCAGCTATTTCCTGCTCTGAGTGATCCTGTGGAAGATGGTTTGAATGCTGGAGTACCTGAAGAATTTGCTGGGCCTCAGCAGAATGAGTAAGCAAATATCTTAAGCACCTGCTAACCTCTTCTCAGTGCTCCTGTGCTCACAGAGCAAGTCCTGAATCATTAATTTTAAAATATACCTAAACCACCCTAGCACTGCACACAACACTGGCAGTGCTGTCCGAAGCTGGAAAGCCAGGGGTGAGGGGATTAAGGGAAAGCCACACATCAATTTGGTAACTTGGTTCTTGTAGGACACTTCCTACTGCAGAAGTTTTGGCAAAGCCGGTGGGAGGGAGCTGCCTATTTTCTAAAAAGGGACTTCAGCTGGTTGGCCATCCCTGTCAGGTAGCCCACGGTTGGTTCAGGGTCTGTGTATCAACACTTAAATGAGTTTTTTTGTGTTGTGCTTCCTCTAAAGCCACAAAAAAAAGTTTCTTATACAATGCTGTACGGTCATATTTTACAGGTGGAAAGTGACTGTCTGGTATCACAATCTGTATGAACTTCTAGTAAGTAGGCATTGAAAAAAAATTGTCTTCAGTAATCAATTTTCTAATAGGTCTGTTTGTCAGTTATTTAAGCACATTCTCATATCTGAGTTTCTTCACAACAGTACGTAGTTGAGAGTCTCCGAGTCCCATGGTTAAGATCTATGTCCTTTCTCCTAACAAGCATGTGCTCAGTAGACAAAGATGGAACAGGAACATCCAACTCTGGAGAAACCAAACCACAACTGGCTCTAGGCTGATCCGCTGAAAGGAAATTGCTCAATACACCACCTTAATGGAGCAAAAATTCACGTGGAACAGTAGAAAAATTCAGAAGTGTTTCTTGAGCTTCAGGTGACCAAGAGCACCATCAGGTTTCGGTCCTGGCCCAGCGTGCAGGATGTGCGGTCTGCGAACGTTGACGCAACATGGAAGTGGCAAGGCGTGTCCCTGCCCTGCCCGACACACTTGTTACAAACATTCCAAGGAGTGTGCCAGGTCTAGCAAGGGTCAGCTGTGAAGTTCCACACAACAGATGTGTCTGTCCCAATTTCTGGCATCAAAAGGCTTCTGATAGTACTGCTTCCATGAAGAAAACTGTCTTCTCCAGATGCTCCAGGATCCACGGCTGCTGCAGCTGCACTGGTACAATCCACATCTACAGCAAATCTCTCTGACCGCTTTCATTTACCCAGGCACATCTGCGATCCACTCCGGCTCTGCCACGCTGTCACTGTTGACGCAAGAGCTGGGAACATACGTCAAACTCCCACTGCTGAAACTGCCGTCTGGGGAGACTGCTGCCACAAACACAGCACAGGCATGTTCACCCTCCCTTACAGCTGTGACCCCGGCTGTTAGCCACGGCCCAATGTACACAACACTCTGCTTGGAGATCTCACCAAGAGTCGGTGTCCCCTGAGGAGTGCCTGGCTTGCCACGGTTGATTTTTTTTTTTTTTTAAACATATGCTGGATATGGCAGACCAGGTGAACCACAGATCTGAAGTTCCACACAACAGAAGTCTTTGCTCTTCTTCCAGGTAACAGCTTTAACTCACTGCATTCAGGGAGGAAGCTCTCTCCATCTTGCTCAGGGGCAACAGGCATGACACACACAGGTGTAGCAGTACCCACAGGTCCCAAATCCTTAACAAATTTTTAGATAGCAACAATTTTTAACGTAGTGGCTTTCCCTTAACGCATAACCCCTTCTTCCCTATATTTTTAGTGGGCAGTCCTCGTCTATCGTTCTCTCTGTCCACCAGCTTTTCCTCCTCGGTGTCCAAATGGGCATCAGGAATCAATTCCAAACTATGGGGACAGCTAAAGCTGCTACATCTACTCTTGGGCGAGACAGGCACACTTAAAAACACTCATTCTTTTTCTATTTCTGAAATGAATGCCAGGGCCTGGCAGCAATTTACTATGATGATTTATCTTCCTCACTGAA